CAACCCATCGTGTCTGGTAGTCTGATAGTGAGAAGATTGGGTAGGCGTGTCTGGCAGACAATGTGAATCCTTGTATGCAAGGGTGTCATCTCTCTCTTCCAAGCAAAGGTTTCGAGGAGCTCCCCTAAAAAAAGGTTCGACTTGTGAATATTAAAGCATCTAGCTATCGTTCTTTCTGAGACAGGATCAATCAGAGTGAAAATGAGGGTCTTAAATATACTTCAATCACGCTTCCCAAAACGAAATAACATCTCCTAAGAAAGTGAAAGCTGTAATCATCGTTTTCAGTGTTTGCGCGAACAAGTGTATATATAGGTGACCAAAGAGAGAAGTTGAGAAGTCGAACATTCAGAAACATGGGTGTACTGAATCTGCTCTTTTGAACTGAGATTCTTGCTTGCGTAGCTGATGTGTCTCTATCGGAGTTGACTCAAAACTGTCGCCACGTAAGCTCAGAAAAGGAATCCATGCTTGGCTTCTTATTCCCAGTCTATCTATTGTCGGAGTTGAGTTACCCTTGGGTTGGCTTCCCCATCGTCAAGTGTTCACCCCTGCCCTGTCCGCCCGATCCCAAGCTATCAAAATGAGTGGTGTGGGAAATGTTCCAAATCTGACTAGAATCAAGCTCTTTGCGAGGGTCATCATCTGTGAAAAGTTCTCGGCTTTCCTTTTGAATAGAAAGAAGTTGGCCTGTGATCAAATAGTGACCTTTTTCTCACATTCCAGGCGAGCCCAAAAGACTGATTAAGCAAAGACCCTATTTGGCACCGAAAGTTCCTGGGGTAGGATAGCTCGACCAAAGGGGATAGGAATCACTGATCAAAGAGAACGGCACAAATGACACTGACTCTCATAACTTCGCTTCCATTCTATGAAACCATTATTCCTAACTGTCAGTCGAGCTTTTGGTCAATATTGATTGACCTATGTGACTCTTGTTTTCTAGTCCAATGACAACGGAATCTCTATTCAAAGTAGTCCGATTTCTTGACCTTTTCTCTCTGACTTTTGGAAGCTGGGAACACCTATGTTTCTATATGATAATATGATCGGTCAAACTCAAAGCTATTTATAAAGAAGAACTGAACATGATGGAATGCATCATTAGAGAAGAGTTTAGTGACGAGCATTGCGGGTGCTTGGGGCGGGTAAGCCTATGTAGTCCATGAAGCTGTAGCGACTACTAATAGATGGACGAGGCAGATACAACGACATTTCCTTCATCGCTCTAGTAGTGAAGCCAAATAAAGAATCGATGTGTAATAAGCGATTTCTTTTGTTTCAGATGTTTCGGAAACATCACCAAGATATAAGACTGCTTCATCTACTAATGGGTCGGCCAGGTTCACTTCTTGCTTTTTTCTTTGAGTCAGTTCGTGATGTCTCTCTAAAGGTCAGCTCCAGGCTACGAAAGTGAAGGGTCAAACGAAGCTTCTTTCCACGGAGAAGGTGATTGTTCACGAAAGATGGGACCAAGGCTCTACATATTACACAAGCTAAGATGGCCCAAGAAAGCACAGGCTATTAATTATCTCAAAGTTGGCTGATAAAGATCAGATTTCACATAAGCACCAGATTAGACAGCTGTTGTGGTTGCTTCAGTAATGGACGTTTTCGCTTCACTTGCCTGACCACCTTCCTGACGGACGAGGTTTAAAAGCAAGCTTGGAATGTTAGCAAATTATAGGCTTCAACCTGATCACGTAGAAGTGGCTGTCCCGTCGTAAATCAGTTAATAATCTGCTCCTGTCTGAGGACTTCGTTACAAGCTTAGAAAATAAAATATTAGGAACTGTCTCACGAAATTGTCTGACCTTGTTTTTGTGAAGACTTTTCCATTTCTATTTCCAGAATGAATCAACGAAAGGGCGGACAGGAGTCGGGCAAGAGTATCTCGATGCTGAATTCCCAAAGCATGCTTGCGTTAGTGGTTCCCCTATTTACAGAGGCCTTGGTTGGCCATCATAAGCGCCCTTTCGCCCTTGAATTTGCTCACCATCAAGTGGCGCCTGATCATGAGAGGAACCAACTTATAAGCGGCCAATGTTCTTGATCTTGTTTTTGCAGTGCCGGGGCCTTTCCTTTAGGGCTTTTCTAAAGAGGTTAAACATATTGATTGGTTTAAACCTGCCCTGACCATGAAGAAGAGAGTGCCGCAGGTAACTAACTACCATACCAGGTTGGTTCAGTCTCCCTTCACGGAGGAAAGAAGAATGGATTGGGATATCGCCCCCTAAAATGCAAGTAAAAGAGACATCGAAATAAGCAAGAACTCATATTGGCCCTATTCATAATAGCTTTTTTGAGAGATGGCAGACGCCAGAGGCTTACACACTGCGCGGTCAATCGCTTCGGAACTTCCCCTATTCCCAATGTTCAAGCGAGATTTCCTACGTATCGAAAGGGTCCCCTGTTTGCCTCGCACACCTGATTTTAGGGTGAATTTGGACGCTCCTTCTTTGCTTCGGGGAGAACTAGAAGATTTCACCTCCGGCGTCATAAGCTTTGGTTGGTAAGGCCCACTCGTCAAATGAAAGCCATAGAGGGATGCAAGGGGGCGGAGCTAGACTATATTACTAAAACTACACTTCCTCTCAAATCTAATCTTTCAGAATCGCTTAGGTAGCATCGATTATTAAAAAGGAGAGCCGAACCTCCGGCATAAGTGGAATTCTATTTGTGGTACTCCTGTTCCAAAAAAAGAATAGAGAAAACTCATTGGTGGGACAAATGCGTTATCCCCCTTCCCTGCTTGACTCTTTCTTTAAGTAAAGTCATTTTCGAATCAACATTTGTCTCCTATACCCCAGTGGCAATGGTGCTGCCATGTGGAATTGAACAGATCCGACTCTCTTGTCGAAGCTTAGGCGCTCTCGAACAACCAAATCTTCATCGATTTTTGAGTACCCAACAAGCAAGGGATTGGACTTCGACTGGAGAACTTGTTTGCTTTTCATTCCTTATGACAACCTTTCCTAAAGACGCCAGTTGCGTAGCAGGCCCACCGTACTAGTTGTGTTATCAGCGCGTAGAACTTACTACACTTCTACTAGAGATAGAAGCGGTCGGTGGTACATGAGGACAGCAGAGTATTTGTAGTAAGTAAGGATTGCCCTGATTTCGACACCTCAGATACCAAACCAAGGACTCATTTCACTTTGGTTCTCTATCTTTTGGAAAAGGGTGGGGAACTCGTACTCCATTATTGGAATACTAAGTATGTTACGAGTCCGGGAAGCCTCTCTTCACTAGGAAGAGAGAAAAAGCCTTTTCAAACTTTTGGGTCACCAAGAAGGGCATTATTTTGACAGCCTCGGCCTGGCGCTTATGCCGAATCTAGAATCTGACCAGCGGGCAGAAAGAAAGAACTCCGATTTCTCTCCTCAATCAGAGAGTCAGGATAGGATGGAGGTGAAATCTTCTAGTTCTTCCTCTTTGGCAGTTCGAGGCGAGGAGCCTAAACCTCAAACGAAGGAGTTAGAGGAGAACAGTAAACTCTGATGCAAAGTACAACTAAGATACCGAAGAATGCGAAGGACAGTACAAGGAAACAAACTGGCTGACAACATGAACTGCATAGGCAATATCTGGTCGAGTAACAGTGAGATACACCAAGCTTCCCACAATAGCACGATATATATAAAGTGGGATCAGACAAGGGAACACCATCAGAGGAAGAATAACGAACATTGAGTTCTAAGGGAGTCTAAACCGTCTGAGTATCATAAAGACGAGCTCTTTGAATACTATCTGAAGCATACTTTGACTGATAAAGTAGAATGCCCTTAGGAGAAGATGCAACTTCAATACCCAAGAAATAGCGAAGAGGTCCCAAATCCTTCATTTCAAAATGATGTTGTAACTGAGTTTTGAGAGCCAAAATACCAGCAGTGTCATCACTGGTGATGATCATATCATCGACATAAAGCAAAAGAACAATACGACCGGCAGAAGTAGACCGAAGAAAGAGAGCCTAATCATGATCACTAGCACGAAACCCAAGATCACAGATAACTGTAGAGCACTTTTCAAACCAAGCACGAGGAGACTCGCCCATATAATGCCTTTTTGAGTTTGCACACCTCTCCAGGTTGGTGAGGAAGGCCAGGAAGAGTCACCATGAATACTTCTTCAACTAAGTCCCCATTGAGAAAGGCATTTTGAACGTCCAACTGATAGAGAAGGCCAACACCTGTTCGCTGCAACAGAAATAACCACTAGAACAGAATTAAGCTTAGCAACAGGGGAGAAAGCATGTGCTCTTTAGATGAAGGGGTCTGAAAGAGAAGCAGATGGTTTTATAGCTTTAGGAGAGAAACTACAACCGTGCACCATCCCTACTACCATAAGGAAGAGAGCTACCAGACATGTCCTTAGCGTTTTGTTCTCTGTGTTATTCTTGGGGTTAGACCACAGTCCTAACCTTATGTGCCTGTTCTCCTGGGGGATAGAAGCTTATCGAAGGGCTTTAGCCCAGCTGACTGATCTGACCTAAAGGAAGCCAGAAGAGAAAAGCATGGGAGAAGAAGAAGCCCCAGGTAAAATAACTTCAATCCGCCCAGTTTCCACGTAGCCTAGTAACCTCAGAACTTGAACCCTTGGCTAGGTTAGGATTAGGTGTTTGCTTCTGTAGCTTTCGCTTCTTAGCCTATTACTTATACAGCATAGAGATGTTCAACCTGGAAAATAGGATTTCATCCCTTCGATCTGTAATTCCACATATAGTAGGAGTCCTTGCATATTCCTTTTCTTCCTCTTCTTCCTGAGGATTGAAACAAGGGATCTGACATAGGTTCAATTCTGACATAGGTCCAATCTTGAACTTGTGGACAGGGTTCAACATTCTTCCACCTCGAGGGAAGGACAACAAAGCCATTGCAGCACCCATTTTGAGAAGAATGAAAGCATGTGTCTCGTTCCCTTTTTCTCTTGACTTTCCTTATGCTATTAGAAAGGGCATTTCTTAGCCGTGAAATTACCTTTACTGTTACTGGCTCGACCTTGCCAATGAGAAAGTTGAAATCAGAGACAGGGTGGTCGGTCGGTTGGGATCGATCTGCCCAGACAGAGTCCAGAAGCTCATTCTCCAAGCCCGGAAAGGTTGGAGAATTAACACCTAGTGTGTTCGGAGGCTGGGAGAAATGATAGTAGCTCGTTGTTTTATAGGCTTTCTCATATTCAGTAGATACCACCGGCATTGGAAGGATCTTTAGGTCTGGACTCACCTCTGTAAGATTGGGGGCTCGCAGAAATGGATCTCGAATAGGAACCTACCCCGGAACATAGTGGTGGAAGCTTGTATTGAGTATGGTGAAGAAAAGGTATTCCATAAAACAAAAGAAGCCTTTGATCTTCTTGGGCAAGGTCTGGAACGGGAGGAACTGAAGAAGTCAAGGTATGCGTTGACCCAATCATTCCATATTCCTATTATTGAAATCCCATCTGTAGAAGTGGTTGAATCAATAGGGAGAGGAGCTCCTCCTCTACGGCGAATCACACGGATAGCAAAAGGAATGATGGGCTTGGTTTCGGAGTGGATGTCAGACCGGATTTAGCAGTTGGTGGAGGAGTTGACGCCATGGGGGCATCTTACCTTTCTGAACTTTCACTTGACTTTCTAGGGAAGATGCTTTCCAAATTGATTCATTTTTCTATTTTAACGGATGGTCGCTTCAGAAACAATCTCTTCCCACTTCTATTCCTCGCCGAAAGGATAAAAGGGTATCGGAACCCTACCTACCCTAGGCACTGCAAAGAAATCAAAACCATAATTCAAACTGTCCGGCAATCAATCTGGTAATAGTAATGAAGGTCGGTACAAGGGAACAAGAAGTGATTCCCCAAGAACTCGCAGTTGGGCAAACAAATAGTTATAGGATGATAGGATGAGTGGTCTCTTATAATCTCATATATAGATAGACTCAGATTTCAGTTTTCCAGTCAATAGAAAAGATCTACGTCTGTTATAGAATGGCTATTCCCTCGGCTGTCTGTTGAAAGGAACTCGCTCGCATCTGATTCTTGTTATCCAAATGTTGAACCAAGCCTTGGCCTAGATAGGGAGGTAATAAGACCAAGGAATTGAGCCAGCTAGGCCATCGGTTCGCTACTAGAATCATAACCCCCTAAGCTGCCGTCTCTCCTAATCAGTCGCCAGACTCCTTCTTTCCGAGGAACTACTGCAACAGCCTACTCGGGCTACAACTAAAGAAGCGGATTTCTCTGCCCGTTGCTCTAATGCTGTTGTCTTCTTGATAGATAGTGCTCCTAACCAAGCTCCTTCTTTCGATTAGCAGCTGGTACGTGAAGCTTCAGCTTGAGATCGATTCAATGACCTTATTTAGGGAGGAGAAATGATTCTTGGATCATCTATCGTCCAATTGACCTATTGAAGTCTTTCCTGCGGTTTGTGACTAAAGAACCTGGCCGTATAAGACATGTTTGATTGCAGGTTGTGCGATTATAAGATCTCTTTTGATATAGTTAGTGAAAAGCAAGCTCTTGCTCTAGGCATGGTATCCATCTATCTATCAATCAATCTGTACGAGGAATAGAGGTGTAAACAATAAGAGTGGCTAAATGCGGTTTGCGGAGTGAATCTTTCTGAAATAGGTGCTGGATTGACAGCTTGGTCTTTTGCTTTATAGAAAGTCAATTGGTGGTAGGGGAAGATCACAGACCCTTCACGCTCTGGGCATCGAGAGGATAGTGCAATCAACGAGAAAAGAGGGGAAAGAGCCGAAGATGCATAGGAGCCTTGGCTTTAAGCGGATCGGGGAGTCATGATTTAGGGAAGGTGGTTCGGAGATAACGAGAGATAGGAGATCCTCGTACCCCATTCTTATTGATACGCTTGCTCCTTGCTTTCACCTTGTCACCCAACCATTCTAACGCAGTCGAACTGCGAAATTGGAAGTCTCCGTCTGGGAGCGAGTGCAACCCAAGAAAGATATTCTCTTCCAAGAGTCAAGGCTTCAAAACCCCTCTTACAGGCTTTGTGACTGGGTCCTCAAGGCTATGAGTTTCACAATTGACTCTGACGGTATCTCCCTTTCATTCCTCATAGTGGAGTAAGCCGCTGTTCGAAAATGTGCTCTATGGCCATTGTAGTGAGCTTTAAGGCATGGAATAGAATTTACCTAGACCGACGGGAAATCGAGATGAGGCTGTCGTAGTTGGACTCACAGAAAGGACCAAGGAGGCATTCCTGACATCGCTTGAGCGTAAGAGCGCCTCTTCGATAGGAAGGTTCACAAAATAGTTCACCACCTCCCAACAAGCTTTGAGAACGTCTTCCGCAGCAGATGGTAGCGGGCTTCCCGGAGTGACACCAGACGCCTCTCCACCTGTCTTACAGAAGTTTTCAACTTCTCCATGGAACTGCTGATAAGCCCCGAGCTCGGGGTCAATCTGTTCAAAGCAGCAAAAGGGGTCAGAGCCAACATTGAGCTCAAAAGAGCTCGGATAAAAGATTCCACGGCCGAAAAGATAAATTCACAG